CCATTTTGGACATAAAATTTGCTTTTTTTGACTGGTGGCCAACTGGTGGCCATTATGGACGAAAAATTTGCTTTTTTTGATTCTCAAACAAGTCAGCAGCTGTTCCTTGGAGATGACAACTACGATTTTGATTTAAGTTGGTATGATGATCATACATATTGGGTTACAGGTGCACATTATTTTTTTAACGGTGACTGTGCCATGCATGGCTTGTTTTACATATTTTCCCCCTTTTTCTCTGATACACGTTTACAGATTTATTTTATCTTAGTACATAGATAATATAAATGAAGATACAATGTTTTTTGTGTGATTCAGTTCAATTTGCCCAACGGTGAATTTTGATGAAAAATCGCTAAATGACCATTGTTAGGCATGCTGTTTACATGTTCAATGAAACTTGGTACACTTATCTTTATCGGAATTTTCAAAACAAAATGCCACAATGAGCCATTATTACTAACTAGTGGAACTATATGTAAATTTAAGTCATTACACTAGAACATTGCAATTGTTATTTTGCCTCATTTTAATTTACAAGGATCATTCCAGCAAAGTGAAACATCCAGCATCTAATTGTCAAATTTTGCATATGCCCCTTATTAAATAATTTATAATAACTAACAGTACCGATAATTATATCTTGTTTACCATAATCTGCATCATTGTGTCCAAAGAAAATATGACCATTTGATCCAAAATTATCTAAACAACTCTGGAAGAATACATACAATTATTTTGATCACCTTTATTATGGTGCCCAAAGGTTAAAAGTAATTGACGGAGAAATGTTGAAATTGTTGTCTATGTTTTCAAATACATGTAGTAGATTTGTAATGAATATTTGTTTCTCTGTCTGATAGAAAGCCCACCTCGAAATGGATGTGACATGGTAGAAGAGAGTCTGGTTAGCCAGTATAATGACCCTGAATGGAAACGTGATATTTAAGCAATACAAATGAAAATGTTATCTATACCCTTTAGGATTTGAAAGTCTATCCTTGCATAATCAATGACGTACAACACCTGGTAATTTAGAAAGTATTCCTGGGTTTGTATCATCTGATCCTAGGTTTGTATCATGGAATCATGGGATTGTACTATGGAATCATGGGATTCAATTGTTTTTAATCTGTTTTTAATTAGCTCCGCTGTCGACTTTGTCGAGCGGAGCTTATCATATGAGTGATTGTCCGTCGTCGTCCGTGTCAATGTTTTACTTTTTCGACTTCTTCTTGAAAACTACAAGCCTGAATGCTTTGATACTTTGTGTATATGTACCTTGGGTAGACCAATCTTATTTTTGTTCATTTCATGTTGATATCTTCTCTAATTTTGGTGAATATTTTTGTCGTTTTTGGTAAAAGTGATATTTTCGACTTCTTGTTAAAAACCGCAAGTCCAATTGCTTTGATATTACATATATAGGTACTACATGTAGACCTCTCTCAGATTTGTTCATTTTGTAATGATATCTTTAATTCTCTAATTTTGGTGAATATTTTTGGTAAAAAGTGGTATTTTCGACTTCTTGTTAAAAACCGCAAGTCTGATTGCTTTTATATTACATATATAGGTACTACATGTGGACCTCTCTTAGATTTGTTCATTTTGTAATGATATCTTTAATTCTCTAATTTTGGTGAATATTTTTGTAATTTTTGATAAAAAGTGATATTTTCGACTTCTTGTTAAAAACCGCAAGTCCGATTGCATTTATATTACATTTATAGGTACTACATGTGGACCTCTCTCAGATTTGTTCATTTTGTAATGATATCTTTAATTCTCTAATTTTGGTGAATATTTTTGTAAAATTTCGTAAAAAGTGATATTTTTGAATTCTTGTTGAAAACAGCAAGTCTCATTGCTTGATACTATACATATTGTTCATTTTCTAATGATATCTTCTGTTCTTTAATTGAAATGTGCATTGCTAACAGCGGAGCTATCTCAGCCGAGAGGCTGCTTGTTTTTCTGTAATTTTAATAACTGTATTTTTAATCCAGTAAATTTGCTGTGAGATTATTCTTATAGCAAGTTTTTTTGAAGCATCTATATATTTTAAGCATCTAACCTTCTAATATGCTACCTGGTGATTTACTGTATAACTGGACATTTTCTTTGTAAAGTTATTTAATTTTCAAGTTATTTGCATGTCTCCATTGAAGTATCAGAAATGAATGTCTTTGTAAGCAATGACAACACTTTATTTACAAGGATGAAACACTGATTGTATAAACAAATACAGTGGGAATATATATCAAGAGTTTTTGGATAAATTACATCCATATGTCACACATTATGTATCCCTCATTAATCATAGCATCATGGTGGCAAGTTTGTATACAAATTCAATATATAAATTTAGTGTTCAACTTGCTGCATTGTTTAGAATTATCATTAATCCAAACAACTGAAATTAATATAAACTGAAAAACAGTTGTGGGCAAACAAACTTGTCCAAAAAAGATTTTATGAGCATACAAGATTTATGTGATTCAAAATGGCCGACTTATTTTAGTTTTGTTTACTATTGAACCAACTATTGATTTTATAATCTTTAACTATAATACATTCCAGGAATCTTGTTCTTAATCTGTTTTAATTTTAATATCATTTAGGAATGAATATTCAGCGTGTTTTGTGTGCATGTGTAGTGTGATTTGGAATTCTTTATTTTATGAATGCTTTAATCAGACATTGTTTTATGACTCTTTATCATGCATGAGAAAAGAAAAATTTGGGTAATCATCATTTTTAGGCTTGAAAATACAGGAGTTTTAAATGTATCACATACTATCAAGTAATATGAAAGGTACTCTAATGTTAAATACAAATCTGTAATAAACTTATAAATCAGTTCAATACTTTTTGAGATATCTTTATTTTAGTTCCAATGTACCCAACCAAAGGGTTTTATATCTATCCAAATCTGTTTTTATGTAGAACTGTATTCTGCAAGCAGATTTAAAATGATGTCTGAATTTGAAAATGGGCTTGGTTCAAAAAAAAAAAATAAAGTTCAAGAAGCCTTCATAGACAGAGAAAACACACCCAGAAGAAGTTTGTTAACTTATTAGTCATAATCATTGAGATGACGGGCACACTTTTAATGGAGGATAGCAAGAATTTACTGAATTTATAAAATGAATGACCTGGGACAAGCCCAATATTACTCTAATAATAAAGAATGCATTAAAACGAGATCAAGTCTGTCAACATACCGATATAATGCCATAGTTTGGCAGAACATCTTATATTGTCCATGTACTGAAAAGATAGGATCACAAGAATGGTATCTGAACTGACTGTACCATATTTGTCTGATAAAGGTGACATTAAAGACTTGGATAAACATCACTTAGTACAATGTATGGAACAGGATGTTGAGTTTCCTGAATTATTGCCTCACCAGTAAGTGCCAAGATATTTTTTGTGGTATTGACATTGCTCATTTTCTCACACTAGGAACAGCTAAAACCTTTGGCAAAAATGCTGATGAAGTTTTTCTACAATATACTCTTTGTGAAATGAGCAGTTTTAATACCACATGTGTGGACCTCGTATCTAGATGACAATCTCAAGGCTCACACTTGCAAAAAACGAGGTGAAGGTACAAAATGACATGTTAGTTCTGATTTAAGGTTACCTGGGAATTGGACAAGCTTTCTGTACAATGCTGAAAACAAAAAAAGCATGGTTTGAATTCCTAGCTCACGAATGTGCTGAATGTAATTCTGAAGACAAAGATCATATCTATGACTGGTATAGCTAAATACCTGCCTAAAATATTATATTCCTGCTAACCGGAAGTGGCATTCAGCATCCAGAGAACCCCTGAACTTGTCTATAAAATAACATGTAAATACTGGCTTATTACAATTATATGAACAGGCAACACCCTGACGGAATTTAAACACATTTCAGAGTCAACCCAACGTATCAAGTTTCAATTGACCCTGGGAACAAATATAATTAACCTTGAACTTGGGAACAGCGTACTCTATTTATAGTTGATACGCTTGGTCATGAAGCATTCATAATTAAACAAAAATAATAAAACCTTGTTATTACTATAACGACAGCCACAATGACGTACACATCATTACTTTCTAAAACAAGGTAAGTGCGGTGTAATTAATTTTCCACAGCATACACTATTCTTGTAAATGTTTCCACCCTGTACACTGACCAAGGATAGAATACAATACACCTTTAAAATATTACCAGTTTTCATGGACTTCGTAGTTTTCATCGGTTGGCACGACATTGTGTACTTGCCATGGTAACCACGCTACAACAGAAACACGTACAACTCAGGCTACCGAAGATGATGTCAATTGGTATGTGTAGCTGGTGATTTGTTATACATAGTGGCAAATTACTAGTAAAACACGTTTTCATGATTTTCTCGGAAATTCGCAGATATTATAAAATAGGACAAAGATGTATGCCGGTTCATGCATTTGAAAATGAGACTCATGTTAAGACGTTTTTTATCACAGTTTACTTTTTGTATATTGTCGAATCTACATGCACTCAGTGCTTTCTTTTTTGTAAATCTTTTGATATCATATAGACCTCATGAAACGTTGTTTTCAGCATAAACTTGAACGATTTGTCTCAAGTTTGTGCACAATGCTCCTTATAAATATATTAGCTAATATAACATGTCCCTAGGGTTGGTTAACCTTTGAAAGAAGTCGCGCTTTTCGTGACAAAAATCAATTATTTAAAATTCAGAAAATCAATACCTTATTAATGGATATAACACAATATTTTTTCAAGACAGTACTCACCACCCTAAAAAAGTCATACAAAAACATGGTTTTATTCGAAAATAGAAGAAAAATTTAAGAAACTCCAGTTATAGTGTTAGAAGAAAATATATATGGTCAAGCGTGATTTTCAATGCAAAACAGGTTTGAATATAGCGTTACACCGTCCGCCTGCAAGGTGTTGTTCCGTTCGAACATTTATCCACCTTGAAAATTCAAGATGATAGCGTCAATGAACATTGATCTCATTCTTAGCAGCGTGTTTTACCTCCACAACGCGCCAAGAAAAGGGTGCCCTTGCTTTTTTGAGATGAACTCTAAACCATATCCTCAGATGCTGTTTCGGCGTATGGAATCCCATTTCCGAATTCTATTTGAGGGACTTCGCTTATGAGAATGGCCACCTCACTCTGGGAACTTCGTTAGCAGGTCATTGCTTATAAAACGGTGAATTAATTTAGCTTGGCTTTAGATGTTGGACTACATTGTACTTTTAATAGGTTAGGTCATCTGGCCTATTGAAACAGTAAACTGTTTTATCCTGACTTACAGGTCAAAGGTTATAATTTGGGGACAAAAAAACAAACCTGCATAGAAATCGGAATAATAGGTCTTTTGATTATCGGAGACGCATTTCAATGGACTTGATTACGGACAATGCATAACTTAAATTTCACCAGGAAATTCCGCAGTGTGCTCTCGCAATCGCGTACTTAGTCATTTTTACAAGGTTCGCCATGTTTGATGTCACGTGATAATTATGTAAACAATGTCTGTCCAGTTTGTGCGAACTTGCACCTCTATACTTAGTCTTTTGATATATATAACCTAAATTACTGTTCTGAACGAGACAACAGACAGAGAATGTTTTATTTAAAAACGTCACAAAACCTTCTCGCTACCTTAAGTACTTTCTAATACCTAAACTAATTTTGATTTTGGAAGACAGAATTCGTGATACATTGTTGTTGACTGTTCATTCAAGTCACTATCCTATTGATTCGTTGTTAAACTGGTAGTATCGGTAGCTTATGACGTAAGTTATTGTAATAAGATTGCATACTATTAGACAACTTCAGCTCCCCAACCACGCAATACTCCTTCGATATATGCCGAGAATGATTGATATAGAGACCCAAACTTCCTTTAGTTTAAAAAAATAAAAACATTTGCGATCTATAATATCATATATATCATGGTCATGAACAAAAATATGTATAATAAAGTTTAAATAATTGATTGAAATATCTTAATTGTTATTTTCAGGGCATTTCTGTCTAGGTACTCGTAATTGTATTAACGACAATTTATTGATGACGTCATGGCAGATGAAGGAGACATTGACCACATATTCATTGATGCTGTATCACAGGGTGATGTAAATACTGCAGTACATTTGTTGACAGTGAGTAATTATTTACAATACACATGTATAACATACTATAGTGAGTGTTTTATAGCAACATAATAATTTATAATTTCATTGTAGCTTCTCTAATAAATAACCTCATCAACCCCTGGGCTGAACTTATTTTCTTATCAATACATCATGTAAGTTTGAGTGAAAATATGATTCCTTATTTTCGCATATGAGATATATATTCTTGCATTTTGGCAAATTCAGAACAATTTCTTTACGGATAACAATCAGTCAATAAGTCAATCTACAAAATAATAAAACTTCCAAATCCGTGACGGCGTTACGCTCAAGGGCACTGCACTATATTACCTTGATTAGTTGGTCTTGTACAAAGTGAAACTTATTTGCCATTTCAACTCCCTGAGGAGCGTAGTGTCCGATCGCATTTCTATATGACGATCAGACACGAAAGAGTGAATAAAGCCACGATATCGTCGCCAAAATGAGACATTGCGCTATGAACCAAAGGGTAGTCAACAAAGTTGTGTTTGGTACTTCTTTCGTATAACTTATTTTTCATTTGACACTGAATCCTCTGAATATGGTTAAAATGATCACAGTGTATGAACCATAATACGACAGATGCCAATTTCAGGCATTCAATCATTGGAAGCATTATGTTGGTCATGACATTCAAAAATAACATAAAATAATATAAAAATTGCTAATTTAAAAAAAAAATCGTCACATGTACGTAGTTTGAAATATATTTCTTATATTTTGCAGGACAGCGCATACACACATGGTTGTCCCGGGGATTGTTCTGGTACCAATTAATTAAATGAACATGCAGTTTAATGTTTTAAATTTGCATATTATTATCTCAATTCGTGTTATTAAACTATAATTAATTAAAAGTACCATTATACTAATTGTGATCGAACGTGTTGGTTCATGTGAATCCATCATCATAATATTAAAATATTAAATTTATTTTTCCTGTTACATTTCATAATTTTTTCTTTGTTGCTGATCAAACAAAAATACTGCAACAAGAAAATTCTATCGCCATATATGCAGCCGTTTTTGTTTTTGGACGGTTTATTTGGTAAAAGTGATCGGCCAGTTTAATTGACTGTGATGGTCTTTATAGCCGTATTGTAACCACGTGAGGTGAAAATCTTGTGATATCACCAGGTCTATTGTTATGGGCACAGCGCCTTAAAGCCATACTACATGTGTACATATTTTACGCTTTCACGTCTCTGTAGGTAAAACATAAATGTGAAGGTACTGTAAAATGACTAATTTTCACTGGGTTTAAATTTCACTGATTTACCATTTCAGGCATATTCAGTGAGTTTTAAATTCACGGTTTCGTCATTTAGATAATGTGTTCTATGCTAAATTTTACATATTCACTGTGTTTTAATTTAGCGCATTTTTCCAGTCAGCGAAATAAGCTAAATTAAAACCCAGTGAATAATTACCCCTTTTACAGTATAGAAAGTATAATTTGATTTTGTGAATGATCATATGTAAGCAGGTTATGGAAAGTCTTTGGTAGAAAAATGGGGGAGACAAGTGAGTTATCCGACTAGGGGAATTGGCCCTGCATTTTTTTATTGGGGGATAATTTAATGCCGCAACTATTAAATTTTCTAATCTTGGTTGCCATGAGATTTATTTAAACAAGTCATTGAAAATGACACAGTCCCCGTTAAGTTCTCTTTGTGCTTGCCATATTAAAGCGGAGGGGTTGTCGCAAGCGTGTCCTTGAAACTTGAGTTCCAAGTGGCGTATACAACAGATTGTTTATTTACATGAAAACACGTGTTTCGTGTCATTGTAATATGGCCAAAATAAAAACAGCCGTTATTCAGCCATCTTTGATCTGATTATGAAACACAGAGATATGTATGATGTATGTGCCAAATACGAATGAAAATGGTACATAAATTGTGGAAATATAGTAGTAAGGCCAAAAAGTCAGATGACTGTCAAACGGCCATCTTTGACCAGATTTTGAAACAAATTGTCATGGACATGCATTCTAACATGTATAAAGTACATGTATGTGCCAAATTTGAATGAAAACTGACAGAGCACATCCAAGATACCGCATAAAAAAACAAAAACAAGATGCTTGCCAGTCGACCATCTTTGATCCAATTGCGAAATATATCGTCATGGACATGTATCCTAACATGTATAATCTATGTACCAAGTTTGAATGACAACTGACAAAGCATGTCCAAAATACAACATTTTCAAAAAACAAGATGACTGCCAGTCGGCCATTTT